CTAAAACTGGACCTTCTTCCAAACTCCGTAATGTGATGCTGATTAATAAAGTTTATGAATAAACGTACAGTTATTGGCGCAAATAGCTTGAGTTGCTGAAAGTGCCATTAAAACAACAACAACAACAAATTCAGGGTGCAACTGGAACATACCGTGAGGTGAGAATATCAGGGTGCAACTGTCAGAACATAATGTGAGGTGAGAATTCTATTGAGTGTCCAGACCATTTTGTGAGTTTTTTTACACACCTCTTGGGGAGCACATCCGCTCAAATTTCACCCAGAGAATCTTGTCTTTGTCCTCTGCCTTATTTCCGCTGTAGGCATCTTGAAGAAAGTCTACCACGGTGGCCATGTATGACTTGTCACTGGAAAAGAAGAAAACAGCCAGTTTGAACATGCAAAGATCTAAAAAAATATGGCAAAATGACTGCCAAAAAAAAGCCAAATGAACAACAAATTGGTAAGACAACGGATAGTTGCACAACTGTTTGCAAAATTTTCACAGAGAATGTCAGATGTTTTTAAACACCCAGATCACCTGTCCTTTCACAAGATGATCTTTTTGTGATGTGTGGAATTTGAATGAAAAACAAAGAAAATTCTAAGCACTGCCTCATTTTCTTTTAACGATGCACGGCTCAAATTGTGTGTATACTTTTACTACAAAGATCCCACTAGCGAAACAAAAGAAAACACATCCACAATAGTCATCAATGCTTAATTTAACAGAAAACTTGTATATACACTGAAGATTGACAGACAATTTCTGTCATAAGGAAATACATGTACATGTAAATCTGGTTTGGCCAGTCTCAAACATGAATTTGCTTATTAAAAAAAGAGCGGCAACACTCATTCCCATTCCTTGAGTCACAAAGCCAAAACCTGTTTTAACATTCTAAATTTCCACAATTTTGATCAACAGCTTCACTTGACTTTTTTCAAACACCCCTCTGCCATGTTTTGGTCAGCATACCCGTATGTTCCTTCTGCGAGTTGTCATACACAATCTCCCAATATGGAGATTGCCAAGCATTATGTCATGTACAATGTGAGGTGTGACAGGCCCTAGACCAATGGACATTACACATTGCTAAACTGTCTGAGGTATTGATGAATGACATACAGTACATGTACATGTATGCGCTTAACCTGAAACATTAGTAACAGAGTATTTTAACATTGATGTTAAGATTGATGTTTTACCTGATATAAGCAGAACCATGTCGAGTGTTTTCATGATCAGAGACATGCATCAAGGCAATCTTCAATTTATACCTGCCACAAGACTGGCCAGTCAATGACAGTCCATGATCTGTCTGATCATGCTGATACTTGAATTCAGACATCATTTACTACAAGATGTAAAACAAATCCCCTCAAGAATTTCTCTTTGGTATGTTCCATGCATACATGTACATTGCATCTGCTTGCGACTCACAGTAATTTTCTTCCAAAAAATGTATCATAAAACATGTTTTAACCCCTAGCATATCACCATGGGTACAGGACTCAGTACTACAAGATATCACATGCAAATGAGGTAGAAGCCTCCTACTTTAAATTACTACTTGCAATCTGGGGCATGTCTGGTCCATTATTTATTGCATAGGGAATAATTGGGTCATGGCACTACCACAGTACTATGATTTATTGTCATAGTAATTGCATTTAACAGCTTCTGAGAACAATAAGGTCGCGACACAAGCCGCAGCACTGTATGCTTCATTGTACTATTAAGGAGTATTTCACCAATGCACATGCCTCCTGGCCTAGTGTGGGTGGTGGAATAGAAAGACCATAGTTTCAGTTACAAAAAGCCCCTTTCTTTTAAATTCACTTTTTAAAAGTAGAGATGAACAAATAGTAGAGAATGGTACGTGTAGTTTACCTTTAACCCTATTTGCAAACCCTTGAGCTGCAGTAAATGTTACAGTTTTACTTTTTCCTATTATTTGTTATATATTTCTAGACTTTTCTGTATCAAAATAGTTCCATTTTGGTTAGGTAACAGCATTTGAAAGAAATCTGATAAGGAAATGCAAGAAGGATATAATAATAACCCACAAAAAAGTAAGTATAGGGGGATATGACCTATAGATTCAGGAACTTACACCTACATACATTGTATGTACGTAATTTAACACTCTATTTCTCTTACTTCCTACTGTTTGTATGGGTGGCTAAAGTTTGCAGATGTTAAACCTTTGTCACTAATTCTTCATTTATAAATGTTTTTGAAGTAATGTTTATTGAGCAGTGTTTTAACACTACAGACGCCACATTAATTTTAATAACATGTATTTTGCGTACGTTGTACTGCACCATCATCAGACCTCATTTGGAGCAGTGTTATAGTCGAGACCTTTATGTCCGAGACCGAGACCAAGGCATTCGAGACCGAGACCAAGGCATTCGAGACCGAGACCTCAAAAAAAGGTCTCGAGACGGTCTCGAGACCAAGACCAGGTCTCGAGACCTCCAACACTGATTTGGAGTATCGCAAGTCTCAATCTGAGACTTCATTTCACGTTTGGAACTCTACTGTTAAATCTCAATCTCACTGATCCTACACATGTAGTTCTACTGAGTTATGTGACATGAAGAGACTTTCTGCTCTTCTCCAGACGATGACCGTTTTAACACAATGGAAAGATGCTTATTGCATTTGATGTACCGTATTGTTGATTGCAGATACAACCACAGGTACGCAGGCACTCATGTACCAGCACTGTTAGACTTGCTGGCAGTCACAACTCATCATTAAAGTGGTATGATACAAGGGCAAATTACATGTACGTAACCGTCTTTGGGATTTCTGCAGAGAGTTTACCAGTGGCAGAAACTATGGAAAAGGAATGGCTAAAAATGACGTATGGAGCATATCATAATCTGGGATGATGAGCTCGGGATGATGAGCTCGCTGATCAGCATACATACAGGCTATCCTAATGCCATAACCATAAGTGTTAATTGAAACCCTATATATGTAGATTGACAATAATAATTGACCAATGTGGTAACATCAGAATTTGAAAGCTCCCTTATGGTTATCGTAACTTTTTGAAAAAAGGTGTGTCCTGTTATTAATGGGAGTCAGAGCATATGTCAGACTCCACAGTTCTGTGGGTATCAAGATTGGGGTCCGGTCAACTCATAGGCATGCCAACTCGTACACAGACCAACTCGTACACAGACCAACTCGTACACAGACCAACTTGTACACCAACCAACTTCAAGCAGTTTACTTGAAGAGGTCTCTCAGAAAAATTATTTTACTTACGGAACCACCGTAGTGAACCACGATTAGTGTGTGTGCGGCAAATGCCCTTCTGTGTTGGAAAAACAAAACCTACCAAACAGATGTCGTCAAGGTCTGCAGCCGCAAGATCCCACCAATCTCAAGTTTCAACTGGCTACTGACTACGGCTGGAAGATCTGTTTGAATAATTCCAGCACATAATCCCCAACGGCTCTTTTCAGAGCCACACATTTTCAAAAGAGATAGGTCCTTGCTGCGTTACAAAATAAAGGCTCTTCGTAGAGCCACCTATCCCCTCCACCCCCGCCCCCCAAAAATAAATCCATAAAGGGAAGAAT